ATAGATAGATAGATAGATAGATAGATAGATAGATAGATAGATCGATAAAGAGAGATATAGATAGATAGAGAGAGATATAGATAGATAGAGATAAATAGATAGATAGATAGATAGAAGAGATTAGATAGATAGATAGATAGAGTAGAGGAGATATACGGAGAGATTAGTAGAAAAATGATAGATAATGAGAATATTCCATAAACACAGTGACCATATCCCATAAACACAGTGATCATATCCCATAAACACAGTGATCATATCTTATAATCACAGTGACCATATCCCATAAACACAGTGATCATATCCCATAAACACAGTGATTATATCCCATAAGCACAGTGATCATATCCCATAAACACAGTGACCATATCCCATAAACACAGTGATCATATCCCATAAACACAGTGATTATATCCCATAAACACAGTGATCATATCCCATAAACACAGTGACCATATCCCATAAACACAGTGATCATATCCCATAAACACAGTGATCATATCCCATAAACACAGTGATCATATCGACGTTATTCAAGTATTTAAAAAAATTAATGGTCAGAATCAGTGCGCAGAGTTGTGACGTCAGCGGGGTCATTATCATACTGACCTTCAGATACTGGGCGGCCACGGTAGTGGAGTTAAGTACACCCATCATAGGCAGGAAGATGATGGGGATGAGCGAGGTGACCGCCAGGGGCAGCACCTCCGCCATCCAATAGAGCGCCATGACAAGCACGGTGAAGAGACAGTTACCGGACTGTAACATAGAGAGAGGAGAGCGAGAGTTAGCGAGGGTGTGGGGGATGGAGAGAGGGAGGGTGGGAGAGAGAAAAAAGGGGGGAGTGAGGGAGGGGAGCCAAAGTGGCAGGAAAGGATGTAGAGAGAGGGAGATGGGTGGGAGGAAGGGAGAAGTAAGGAGGAAGTGAGAGTAGTGGAGGACAAGAGGGAGAGAGGGAGGGAGGAAAGGAGGGAGAAATAGGCGGGTGTATAGTAGGAAGAGGGAGGGAGGGAATGAGAGAGGAAAGGAGGGAGAATGGGGAGGCGGGAGTAAAGTAACGTAAGGAGAGATAGAGATTGAGAGGGAGAAAGGGAGAGGGACGGAAGGAGGGGGGAGGAAGAGGGAGAGAGGGACACAGAGAGAGAGGGGGACGTAGATAGAGAGAGAGAGGGACGGAAAGAGAGGGACGTAGATAGAGAGAGAGAGAGAGAGAGAGAGAGAGAGAAGGGTAGAAGGAGGGAAGGAGGGGAAGAAGAAGGAGAGAGAGCGACGGAGAGAGAGAGGGACGTAGATAGAAAGAGAGAGGGATAGGGAGGGAAGGAGGGGAAAGAGGGAGAGAGAGAAACGTAGATAGGTGAAGGGAGGGATTGAGCACTCACCTTTGTTCCTATGGCAGGTATAGGAAGCACCCATTGTAGCAACGCCAGCAGCGGCGGTCCCGCTATAAGAATGATAGTCTTACGGAACGCCAACAACTCCAGTCCAACCTTCTTGCAACCATCCATCGTACGGACGGGTTGACCTTGGAGATGGTAAGGGTCACGGGGTCAGCGGTAGAGGTCACGCTCGATCTGCGCTTGCGCATCACCTCAACTGAAGCGCGCGCGGAAATTCTGAAAAATAATGGATGAAAATTTTGTGATTTTTCGGTTTCTCGGTTCCTCGCCCTCTCTATCTATCTCGCTCTCCCTCTCTCCCTCTTTTCCTCTCGCGCTCTCTCTCTCTCTCTACTCTCTCCTCTCTCTCTCTCTCTCTCTCTCTCTCTCTCTCATCATCTTTTCTCATCTCTCTCTCTCAATCTCTCTCTCTCTCTATCTCTTTCTCTTTCCTCTCATCATCTCTCTTCGCTCTCATCTTTTTCCACGCGACCTTCTCTACTATCTCTTCTCTCTGTCCTCTGTCGCATTATTTCTCTCTCTTTCTCTTTCGTTCTGTCTCTCTCTTTCGCTCTCTGTCTCTCGCTGTATTTTGCAATATCAAAAACGAAATATGATAAATAAAATCTCGTATTTCTTCTCGTATTTTATTCTCTCTCGGCTGCTCCGAGATTCGAGATCCGAGAAACCGGTTCGAGATTCTCGGCAAGCGGGTTGTTTGTTGTCCATCGCCGGATCCTCGGCCGGTGAAATTCGTTATTCATAATCCGGTTTTCAATTCATACTTCATGACCCGCATGCGATATGTTACGTCACGCCACACGTGGTAAAACACAGAAGAAGCATTGCTGTGTGGCAAGTACACGCACAACGCAGCAGGCACGCGGACGCACGCGCACCACACGCACGCAACGGGCGGCACACGACGCCGCACGCAGCGACGGCGGCACACACACACACACACATACACAGCATGCAGCGCACGCTACTGACGCAGTTCAACAGCGGCACGCACGCACCCACACACGCACCAGCCACGCACGCTACGTGCGCACCTACACCACGCACGACACGCACGAATTCACGGGTACGCACAAGACGCACGCACACACACACACACACACACACACACACACACGCGCACACACACACACACACACACACACACACACACACACAATACCCCACATCAATCACTCGATACACGTAACACATAATTGGCGTGTATAAAGAGAACCACGAATCAATCACGTGGTCGGACAGACATACGTGATACAATACAATCAACCCTCAGTTCTGCGACCTTGCGTGAAAACAGACAGGGGTGCGGGTTCGAGTCCCGTAGCGGCGGTAGTGCGCCTCCCGTCTGCTCTTACCGGAAACACAGACGCCGCCTGAAATATTAATAGAGGTTCGATTCCTCGAAATTCGACGTGTGACGTCACGCGAGCGTCGCGCTGCGCATGCGTGACGATTACATCCTGGGATTTGCAGCCGGGTATTTATAATAGCGTGATGTATCCTCCGCTACCCCTTCTTTCAACCGATATCTCACTCACCTGCCGTATAATTATCGTCTGAGCACGCACTGCGCATGCGCAGGTGACGCCCCTCTCCCGCGCGGCCGGTGTGCATCATGCATGGCGTGTTCGTTCAAATCATCAAAAAAAAATCACGCGCTCTGTTTGTGCTCGGTGTTTGTGATCGGTGTATGTTGTTGGTTCTTTGATAGAATCGTGGGTATTATATATACATGTACAGACTCTATAGTCATGGTTCAGGAGAGGTGTGTATGCGCGCGGAAATATAATGGTGTGCATTTCAAACGCGGAATATTTATTGTTCTGTTATATACATACACATGGACGAACGTGTGTACACACGTACGAATTTACTCTCTCTCTCTCTCTCTCTCTCTCCTCTTCTCTCTCTCCTCTCCTTTTATTCCCTCCCTCTCTCTCTCCTCTCTCTCTCTCTTCATTCTCTATAATTATATATATTATATATATATATATACATATATATTATATATATATATATGATATATAGTTATATATAAAGAGAGAGAGAGGATACCCTCAGAAACAAAGGTGGTATAATGCTATATATATATATATATACTCCCATTTTCTTTCTCACTCTTTCCCCCGTCCCTCCCTTCTCTTCTCCCCCTCTCCCATTATCATTCTCTCTTTACTCGTGTACAGTGAAATCACCTATAGACATAAAATACAATGATCATCGGGAATGTTCAGGCGTTTATTCCTACTCATGTGCAGGCGGCCGTGGATTATTAAAAACCACCCTCAGTGCGTGACAGCTGCATCGGTTCAGGGTCATGTTATAGCGTGTGTATTGATCAGGGCAACTAACTATCTATAGTAACCATAGTAACTACTATTTAGTGCAATTAATGTTTGATAGATCGGGTTACAATAAGAAGCAAGTCACAGCGCTAACGAATACTGAAGAGTATGGATGGGAAAAGTGAGGAAAGAGAAAGAGAGAGAGAGGAAAAATAAAGAAACATAGAGAGTTGAATATAAAGAATGGGGAGAGAGAGAGAGAGGGGGGGGGTCGTAGCGAGAAAAAGACAGATAACGAGAGACAGATATATATATATGTATATATATATATATATAGAGGAGAAGAGGGAGGAGAAGGATGCGAGAGAGGAGAGAGAGAGAGAGAAAGAACGACAGAAAGAAAGAAAGAAAGAAAGAAATAAAGAGGAAAAAAGTCGCGAGAGAAGAGGATAGAGAAAGAGAGAGAGAGAGAGAGAGGGAGAGACAGAGAGATGAGAGGTGCCGCCCCGATGAATTTCGAGCAGAGAGAGTGAGAGACAGACAGAGAGAGAGAAGAGAGAGCAGAGAGAGAGAGAGAGAGAGAGGGAGGGGAGAGAGGGACAGAGCAGGGAGACAGACAGAGAAAGAGAGCGACAGAGGAGATGGGAGCGAGAGGAGAGGAGAAAGAGAGAGAAAGAGAGAGAGAGAGACACACACAGAGAGAGAAAGAGACAGACAGAGAGAGAAAGAGAAAAGGGTAGAGGGAGATGGTAGATGTAATACAGTTATTCTGATATCGGCTATACACTAGCGGTGCCTCTTATCCGGCTGACCGAGTAACCGGTTGCTGCTCTCGGCTCCATGCTGTTCGTCCATCGTCTGCCATCAGCCATCGTCACGGTCATGCACTACCGCACGCNATTCTGATATCGGCTATACACTAGCGGTGCCTCTTGTCCGGCTGACCGAGTAACCGGTTGCTGCTCTCTGCTCCATGCTGTTCGTCCATCGTCTGCCATCAGCCATCGTCACGGTCATGCACTACCGCACGCGTGGTCTTTCATCGTGTCATACAGACACCCGCCTGCAGACGCGGTGTCTCATCGTGTCATACAGACACCCTCCTGCAGACGCGGTGTCTCATCGTGTCATACAGACACCCTCCTGCAGGCGTGGTGTCTCATCGTGTCATACAGACACCCTCCTGCAGGCGTGGTGTCTCATCGTGTCATACAGACACCCTCATGCAGGCGTGGTGTCTCATCGTGTCACACAGACGCCTGCAGGAGGGTGGTNCACCCTCATGCAGGCGTGGTGTCTCATCGTGTCATACAGACACCCTCATGCAGGCGTGGTGTCTCATCGTGTCATACAGACACCCTCCTGCACGCGTTGACCGATATCGTCCGTGACGTAGGTTCATCATGATCATGATATATCCCGTGGGCTGGTATCATCATGATCATGATATATCCCGTGAGCTGGTATCATCATGATAATGATATGTCCCGTGAGCTGGCATCATCATGATCATGATATGTCCCGTTAGCTGGTATCATCATGATCATGATATGTTTCGTGAGCTGGTATCATCATGATCATGATATGTCCCGTTAGCTGGTATCATCATGATCATGATATATCCCGTGAGCTGATATCATCATGATCATGATATATCCCGTTAGCTGGTATCATATCATGATCATTCCTATTAATGATCATGAGACGTTAATTTTGAAGAACGTGATGCTTGTAGTAAACATTGGTAACGTGATGCTTGTAGTAAACATTGGTAACGTATTGGTAGTAAACAATTGGTAACGTACGTGCCCGGGTAACATGACTCTAGTACGATGACTGTGACTGAGAGTGGTGATCGCGCGGGAATGAGCGAAGCATACGTCGCCTTTACATCAAAGTAATAGCGGAAAGTGATACTGGTGGCTCCCGCTTGCAACATTGCATCACTCCTGTGATCGTCGTCAGTTACAGAGTGTTTCTCGTACAGATGGAACGCGCAGCCTGCTGACATTGCGTCGCGTACGATTTCAAGGGATCCGCTCCGGAACATTTCGGTGAGATCTTGCTACAGATGCTATGAGCGTTAAGCTACTGTGTATGTAGTCAGTGGCCCGGAGGCGTACGCTACCCGCGCTCCTGCACTTCCTTTGATGCTGACTGCTTACTCGCGGCTTGTACTACTGCTGCTTGCGGCTGGCTCACGTACTGCTGCTGCTGCTACTGCTGCTACTGCTGCTGCCTGCTACTGCTACTGCTGCTACTACTGCTTGCTTACTAGCTGCTGTACTACTGTGCTGCTGCCATGCTACTACGTATGCTGCTATCTGCCTACTACTGCTGCTTGCTACTGCTGCTGTGCAGTATGTGCTACTGCTGCTATACTACTTGCTGCTGCTACCTGCTGCTGACTGGCTATACTGATGCTGCGCTACTGCTGCGCTGTTGCTGCTTGGCTGCTGCTATTACTACTGTTGCTGCTGCTGGCTGCTGCTGCTCAGCTTACTACTGATGACTGCTACTGCTGCTGTGCTCTGCCTGCGCTGCTACAACTGCTGTTGGCTTGCTGCTGTTGAATGCTGTTTTTTACTACTGCCTGCTACTATGCTACTTACCTGCTGCTGCTAACATTACTGCTGCTCAGCTTGTGTGCTGCTACTACTACTACCTGCTGCATGCTGCTACTGCTACATTACTGCTGCTTGTCTTGACTGCTTGTCTGCTACTGCTGCTGAGCTGCTGCTGCTGCTGCTGCCTATGCCCTTACATACTTGCTCGGCTGCTGCTTGCTGCTGGCTCTTACTACTACTGCTTACTCTGCTACTGCTACCTGCTACCGATTACTGCTGCTGCTGCTGCTACTGCTACTACTGCTGACTGCTACTGTCTATCTGCTACAATTTACTGTCTGCTGACTAGCTGCTGCTCTGCTACATCTACTTGCCTGCTGGTACGACATCATGTCACTCATCTCAGTCGTCACAAACTCGCTATACTTCGAATCCATCTCAACACATCCATTCTCACACATCATCGCACGCACAATTTATTCACACGACCGTGTATAATTTACTATATTTACATTACATGTAATTTGATAATATATATAATTATATATATATATATATTAGCTATTATATTATATATATATTATCATATATTATAATATCAGGGCCGTTAGGGCGGAGAAAAATTCTATGGGGGGGGCAGTCGGCGGATCCAGGAGTCAAGGAGGGGGTGAGAACAGGTGGTGTCTGGGGGTGTCCTCCAAGAGGTTGTTGAAATTAGTAGATCGCAGTGACATGTATTTTGATGGACTTTGAAGTCACATGTTACAGCCTTCATTCTGACTATCGACCATTCACTTTTGTAGAACATTTTTTTGCTGATAAAACTTTAGGGGGGCAGCTACCCCCTTGCCCCCCCCCTCCCCGCAGGCCTACGGCCCTGCATATCTATATAACACATGGCATTGTGCACACAACAAAATGGTTGCAATTTGTGTGCATTCTAAGCATTATTCGATTTTCTAGGTTCAATGAAAGGTGTACTGCATACTTTATATGCACGCAATCGTTGCGCAAGTACCATTACTACACACACAAGCGCGGCGGCACACACACACACACATACAACACACCACACACACACACACACACACACTACATCACACACACACCACTACTAACACAACACACCACACACACACAACACACACGACATCAACACAGCAGCACCACATACACCCACACACACCAATCATACACACAGCACCACACACACACACACACACACACAGCAACCACTACACGGAGCCACACACCACGACCAGGCACACACACACACTATAACGATACACACACACCACACACCACACAGCACACAACGATACACAGCAACACACACAACACACAGCAACACCACACACGATATATCACACCACATCACACTCACACACACTCCACACACGCAACATACACACACACACCACACACTACACACACACAACACACACGACACACCCCACACACACATACACATCTACACCAAACACACGCACGCATGATGCACACATTGCACAACACACGCAATGCACTGTGCGCACGCGCGCAACACACACCACACACACCACACACGACACAACACACACACACACAACACACGCCACGCATGCAGTGCGCACATGCAACATGCAACACACACGCCTATGCACGTGCGCGCGCACACACACACACACCGGCACACAGCGTGTCGCGCCGGCACACACACACACACACACACCACGCAAACATCGGCTCGCGCGCCGCGCACACACACACACACACACACCACGCACGCGCGCAACGCTGATGCATGCATCCACATGCACACACGCCAATGCCAGTGCGCACACACGAACACACACGCACGCATTCACGCACGCCCCACAACGACGCTCACACAAACGCTCCACACACGCTCCACAGCTGCACGCACGCACGCACGCACGCACGCACGCACGCACGCACACACACACACACCTTCACCTGCGGGGGGGATCAATTCTCATCGCTTCTACGTTCAGGTAAATATACAAGCTAATCGACTCTCCCTGTAGTTTCTTCCCTGCGCTCTCACACAGGTATGATCCAGGAGCAGTCCACCTGTAGTCGTACCTGGAGTTATTATGTGTGTGTGTGTGTGTGTGTGTGTGTGTGTGTGTGTGTGTGTGTGTGTGTGTGTGTGTGTGTGTGTGTGTGTGTGTGTGTGTGTGTGTGTGTGATCCGCTGTTGCTGCTGCTACTGCTGATGCACTCTCATTTTCACGTCGTGTTCGTTGTTTGCGGCCGTGGCTGATGGTAAATAGTTCGTCTACATTCCCCGTGCCACCGCCTTATGAGGAAGGACTCTTCATTCGGCATGGTTACTCAGGTGTGACAACGCCAGCGGCAGGTGAAGCGTACACGAGCTTTCTTTGTAGCGCGTCGATATATTGAGTTTTTTTTATTGAATTCCCCGTTGGTAGATGGCGCTGGTGTGTGGAAGTCTTCAAGCATTCAATCAAGAGCGTATAAAGAAGGATACCTTCTTTTATACGGTAACGCTCTTGATTCAATTCAATTGCAATTCAATTCATTCTTTGCACTTCTAAGGTCGTATAATGCTTTGTGGTGTGCAAGTACGCGTGTACGAGAAATAAATACATTAAAGCACATAATATTATACCTGAATAACTATATATATATACATTTATACGTGAAGTACATGTTACAGAAGGTTCGTACGTAAATCTGCCACTTAAATTCAATGACTTTTCAAGAAATTTTCGCCAAGAAATCAAGGTCAAAATTGAAAGGCAAATATTTGGACGCTGTTTATATAATATATTTAGAGACAACATTCAGTTGTAGCTTATACAACACACACCTGGAAAACATATTGTAATAATTTGCTTCGCAGCAGTTACTCGATGTCTGATGCACAACAGATATGTATTAGATATGTATATGTACTTCGATTACGCCTGTGATATATATAGTATTACACACGAGTTGGTTTGTAAAGTTTGGCCGCATCGTTACCATGGTGTACGTGCGCATGAATGAGTGAATCTACACACACACACACACGCACGCACACGCACATCATACATGTACATGTATACGCGACGTACGTGTATACATGCATCTACGTAGTACATGTAAATATATATAT